CTGGGCGGCCGGAGCTGGCGGCGCTGCCTCCGCCTCCGGCCATGGTGAGCGCGTGCGTCTCCGGGCGCAGAGGGAATGGTTGCTGGGGTGACTCCTGCGAAGTTACGGTTTAATGGTGCCCAACCGTTTCCTACCCATCTGGTGGCTGCTGGTAATGGGAGTTGATGGGTGGGCGAGAGAGGTTTTGTTTTCCACTGGGCATTTGGTTTTTGCATAAGCGTAATAATTTGCATTTTCATCCCTGATTAGCTTTCTGGTTTGAGTGAGCGTTGGAATTGTAGTGGAGCAGTAAGTTTGCGCTGTAGAAATTAGGAAAACTCTATAGTATATTTAGATTCCTGTTCAATACACTGATGTGTGATATTTAATTATCCACTCGGTATAATCAAAAGTTCTATGTGATTTTGATATCTACTGACTTCCCCCCCGAGAGTTTCTCTTACTCTTTCCTGTAGTTTAATTACTCCTTTCCGAAGTCGCTTTATGAAATAACTGGCAATTCTAATGTCTCGAGGCTTGAGGTTTGCTAATTTTTTTTCATTTCGTTTTTATAAAATAAGTTTAGCTAGATTTTGTAGCATATTAACTTCTCTTTCTAATGTAGGCTATTGAAGAGGAAGGAGGCGATCCAGATAATATTGAATTAACTGTTTCAACTGATACTCCAAACAAGAAACCAACCAAAGGCAAAGGTTGTTACGAGTTATGAACGTATTTTAAAATATATTTTGGTTATATAACTTGCCTCTGCTCTTGTGCCACTTGCCCTGTGTATGTAGTGCTACTCTTTGCTGTTTCCCTCTGGCGCTCTGCCTTCTTGGGTCAAGGAAGAAAAGTTACTCTTGCCAGGCTCTGGGTAACTTCTAGCCCTTGAGATTGGGATGAAGCCGACCAGAAAGCTAGAACAATTCTTTATTGCTTCCGAAAACAGTACAAAGTCGAGTTGTGTAATCTTTCATAGCGTGAATCCTTGAAGAATAAAAATACAGTTTAATACATGTCTACCTTGCCCCACAATTGGCAGAGTATTGATGGAATTCCTCCCAGATCTTTCCCTTGGCTCCTTGCTGTTCTCTGTAATTTATTGAAATTCTGTAACCTTTATGTTTCGTATTTCATTTGACTTGGTGAACATGATTTGCATTTATGTCACAGTATATTCTAAGAATTTTCTGTGAAATTTAAAAGGACCTCATCAGTTTAATCAAGCTAGGGAAAATCCATAATTAATTAGTTTTGAGTTTGCAGCTCTAGGGACATCTAATAACTAAGTTAGACTAGATGTGTTTCTGGAATGTGGAAGTAGCTACATGATTTTAAATGAACATTGGAATTTAGGCATTTTGAAAAATGTGCTAAATGAAGTGTGTATTTGAAAAATTGGAAATTCCTCCCTTCCACCCATAAAGGACAGTGGCAGAGAGAGGGTGGGTGTGATGTATGTGGATCCTAATGGCTTCTGCAGTTTCCATGTGCAGCTTGAGCATCGGCAGCTTTTTTTTTTTGGTACAGGGATCAAACGGGAACTTGGGCTTTCAAGGCAGGTGGCGGCACCACTGAGCTAAATCTCCAGTCCATCTGCAGCATTTTGTGTTGTTAAAATCTTTAATGCTTCATGGGATCCAAGTGATATTACAGCCACCCAATGTTTGGGGTGAGAACTAAATGGTTGATCTCGAAAAGAAGGGGATCAATTTTGACCTTAGGTGGCACGGCTCTCAGAAACAGGTTGCTTCACTATTTTGAGTAAAGTTTGTAGGTGCCAGAGAAAATTCAGAAAAAAGCTAAGAAGCATTTCCTGTTTGAGATGGGATTGGCAGAGATTAAGATGGAGTTTAGAGGAGTAAGGAAATGATTTTGAAAGTTTGTGGTAACACAATAAAACTTTAACTCTATTTTTCATCTTGAGATACTTTCATAGAGCCTTGAGACACATTTCCATGTGTTTAGAAAGCCTCATGCCAGAAATTCCTCTGCTGACAAACCAGAAGTATTTCAAAATGGGGAAGCATAAAAAATTTGCAAATAAGTATATCAGGAATATACCATGTTTTTTTTTTTCCTTGATACTGGGAATCGAACTCAGGTCTTTGCATTTGCAGGGCAGGTGCTGTGCTAAACTGTGTTTCTTGTGTTTTTGATTCATAGCTTTTGTTTTGCACATCGTGCTACTTTTTTTTGTGCCTGGGATTGAACCCTGGACCTTGCACTTGCAAGGCAGGTGGCAGAACCACTGAGCTAAATCCTGGACCCACATTGTGATACTTAGACAGATGCTGTATGTTATCATAGTCCCAAGTTATTGGAGTTGACTGTTAATGATGGTAGTATTTACAATAAGATTTATTTACTTTATTCAGTTCTCACTTTAATCTCTTTTTACATCCCTTTTTCAGTTTTGATTAGAAACTTCTTTTATCTAACCCTTAGAAATAATTTCAGAGCTGGGCATTGTGGCACAGGTCTATAATCTTTGCTCTGGCAAGGCTGAGGCAGGAGGATTAAGAGTTTGAGGCCAGGACTGGGGTTTAGCTCAGTGGTGCTGCTGCCTGCCTTGGAAGTGTAAGGACCAGAGTTTGATCCCTGGTACCCCCCCCAAAAAAAATTTCACAAGGGCTTTAAAAAGAAGAAAATAAATAATTTCAGCAATATAAAAATTAAAGGAATTTTTTATATTCATGTGATTTTTTTTTTTTTTTTTTTTTTTTTTTTTTTTGGTATCAGCAATCGAACTCGGGTCTTTCCACTTATGAGGCAGGCGGAGGCACCACTGAGCTAAATCTACTGTCCTCTTGTGATAATTTTTGAAGAATAACATTTTATCAGTGTAATTTTTCCTTTATATGAATTATGAAAATACTCAAGTTTTATTTCATAACTTTGATATTACAGTGACTTAGTCTTTAGCTAGAAGTGGTAGCATTTATTTGTCTGTAGCAAGCTATTGAGGACTCCATGTTCTTCATTGTAGCTCTAGATTCCTTGAATTCATTGTTCTGAAAATCATGAGTTACGAAGAACTTAATGCACATCTGCAGCTCAGAATCTTGTTTGAATTAATTTACAATTGATACCCCTATGGGTAAGATTATTACTGATTTATTTTGCCTTACAGGTGTTTGAATCCAAGTTGAACCCAGGGTCTTCCACATTCAAGGCAGTTGCTCTACCACAGAGCTCCTGAAGATACCAGCTTCTTCAGATTTTTTTTTTTTTTTTTTTTACAATGTCATTTTCAGCTATTGAGGATACTAAATGTTTGGTTATGCAGACTGTGTTCATATATCTGTATGAATATTTACATATTTTAAGATTTATTTTTCTTAAATCGATTTGTTTGGAATTATGGTGTTGAAAAGTTATATAGACTCACATGTCACTTTATTCTGTATAGAACTAGAGAATGAATTTACCATTTTCTAAGTTTCAGAAACAATATGGTAGCTTGCTTGCTTATTTATTTATTTATTTATTTATTTGATACAGGGTCTCACTGTAGTTTGGGCTGGCCTTGAACTTGCAGCAATCCTACCTCAGCCTCTTGAGTGCTGGGCTTATAGGCGTGTGCCACCATGCCTGGTAAATTTTCACCCTTGTTGCTAAATTACTACATTAAGGTATTTATTTATTTATTAGACAGGGTCTTGTAGTTTAGGCTTGCCTGGAGATGATCCTCCTGCCTCAGCCTCCCCAGTGCTGGGATTACAGGTGTCTGCCACGACACTCAGCATTTTGGACAAATCCTATTTTGTATATTTACCTTAAATAATTTCTCTTTGATCAGGAAATATTTTCTTCAATTGACTTGTTTCCCTTCTTTTAAAAAATTTTGAAATTTTAGTACTTTATCTGTAAGGCTTTTTTAGTTCTGAAATTTAACAATTATATATACCCAAGAGCCAGAAGAGAAATGTTACCTAAAATAGATAAATAAGAAGCAGGAAAGCTCCTAGGCCCTCAGTGTCCAAATGAGCAGGGGGAAAGGAGTGAAGAAGAGGGTGGGAGCAGGCTTGGACATTGGGTAGGTAAAATATGTAACAGCTTGGCGGAAATAGTAATAATTCGTATTTCTAAGGCAGCAAATAAAAGATGTAAAAAAAGCGAGAGAGAAACTTTATAGGTCTGGTAAATTTCTTAGGTGAGACACTGAGCCTGTGAGACACTGAGCCTGTTCTCTGAGAAGATAAATACAGGCTATTTCTTTTTTAAAAAGTGCAAGGGCAAGGCCCTTCGTTTATCGCCAGTACCCAGAAGAAGAAAGAGTAATTGATTATGGGCGAAAGAATCTATGCTGAAGTAGGTTGTAGACTGTTTAAAAATGCAGTTAGAGGCACAGCTTGTAATAAGTGTTGTTACATTATAGTGTGCTCTGGTATTTA